ACATCCATATCCAATTGATATATAAATGTATTCTTATTTTTCCTACTTGATATTATACAAATAAAAAAAAAAAAAAAGGCTAAAAAACATGTTAATTCTAATTTAAATTGTTTCTACTAATCTTTTGACTAAGACTATGTTTTTTTTTACTAATTGCTTAGACCTTTTGTGCTAGAATAACATGCAGATCATTTTCTTTATTATTTGATTTTTTTGCACCAGATTCTGTTTTTCTACACTTTACTGATTCTACTTGCATATAGATTTTGGCACTACTCTTTACCCATACAAGTAGGTCTGCATCATGACCTATATTATAAAAAAAGGATGCCAATATCAGAATGGATCTAGTTTTTGCTGAATTGTATCTCTCAGCAAACTTTTCAAGAGCAGCTCTAAGTTGTGAGCCACAAGTTTTATAATCATTCTTGACTGTTCTAAGAAATGTTTTAATGAATTTGGAATTATATCTTTATTAAATGCAAAAAAAATTTAGATAATTTAAAGATTGATAACATTTATATTTATAGTACATTATTTAAATTATAATAAACATACTTAAGATATGTGTGTAATGCTCAAAAAAAACTTCCTTATAATAAATAAATGCTGTATACTTACACTTCTGTTGCTGCAATTTGGTATATATCTACATCAGATACAACCTTATTCAAATTCATATTAGTTGTCAAAATATGGTTTGTATCTATGTCAGGTACAATCTTTTTTATGTTTATATCAATTGCTGAAATTTGATCCACACTACTATTACTTGTAGCAACCATTTGGATTTTATTTGATTGTCTATATTAGTAATTATTTGCATATATACATAATGAGGCATAGAAAAAGTCATTTGCAATCATTTTTTATAATAATTATTAAATATTATTTAAAATTTTCTAAGAACTTAAAACAATTAAATAATCTACTTACCACATGCAATATATGCAAAGTGAGCATGATCATTAGGCATTAAAGATGAAAAAAAATTTAAAGACTCAACATAATATTTAGTGGCTACTGCATCTTGATGTTTTCATGATGCTTCAGATAGCCAAACAAAACATGTACATGTACATAATTTTGTATTAACAGTATAAAATAGATCAGTGCTCTTTTTTTTATTTAGAACCAAATACTTCATACTTATTTCTGTTTGTTGAATGTTTGCTGCATCAATCGCCTTCTAACCAAAACATAAGAACCTTTTAGCAATTCGAATATGACCAGAATGGCAATATGCTATTCCAAGTAATCAATGTTCATAATAGTGTTCCATACTTGTGACAATAAATTGAAACATTTGAATACTATTGTATACCTTGGTATGTGTGAATATAATATCTTTCAGTAATCCGAAACTATGCTCTATGTAGTTATTAGTATTATTTCCCTATATAAGGAGCCTAGAGTAAAAATATACAGCTCAGAATTGTTGTTGGTTCCAAAATAACTTGAAGTATCTTTGTAGTTGTAGATATATATAATAATAGTTAGTTTTTAATTCATTGTAACTTTTTATCATTTCAACTTCTGTTGAAGCATATAATATACTTTTCATAAGATTCATTATAGGCATTTTATGAGCCTTATTTATATTATGTTTTGAATTATACAACTAGTGCCAAAATGCTTAAAGCATATGAAATACATATAATAATTGTTTGGACTGTAGCCAGCAATGTTTTAGTGTATTATGTTCAGAATTGAATCATCTGTAAGAAAAGTTACTGATCCAGTATCAGGCCTATGGCCAAAAAATGTGTGTTGTAGAAGAAGTGATTTTAACATATTCATTCTTCTTTTAAGGATCATTTCTAGCTCATTTAATGTCACAAGAATACTGAGAGGCAATGCATCTGCAATACTGCTTGTATAGAATAGAGTAACTAATGTATTTAATGATTCAAATAATGCTGAAATGTTTACATAACAGATTTCTCCAGATTGTTGAACTTTTTCATGAATATGAACTATTAAATTGGTAACAACACAAAGAATAAAAGCTTTTTTTGACTGAGAGTTATATTTCTGATAAATCACATGACCTTTTCCTAAACTATTATATGAATCGACTTCCTCTTTAAGCTGTTGAAACATATGTATACTATTCTTTCACCAAAATAATTACTATGAAACTGTTTAAATAAATTTAAAACATAATCATAATCAGGATTTAGTGTGCAGTCTGCTAATAATTCCATGAGCTCTTGATCATTATTTGCAAGCAAATAAAGACTATTCTCATATGTATATTAGGCAGTAGCTGGTGAATGTCTATTTGTGAAAAGTTTAATATATTTATTGCAAACTTCATTTTTAACATGTTTAAAACTAAGTGCTTTTGCAGAATGAATGATATAATTATGTATAAACTTAATCTTTACTTCAAGTAGATAATTAGTCTGAAGGTTCTGCCATTCAAATCAAAGGTAAATTGTAGTCTTACATTCTGTATTTCTAATATGTAATAAACTAGTTTTTTTTAAGACTGGACTCCCTTGTTTTTTTCTTACTATATCGCTATGAATACAATGTTTCAATTGTCTAAAAATAACTTTTTGTTCTAGAATTTAATAGTCCTTAGATTGAGACATCATAGTTTTTGATATTTCTTTAAAATCAGTTATCCATTTTTGTACATCTTCAATATTATCAACATTCACTATGAGATCTGCTTTAAATTAGTTTACTGAAAACCCTTCAATTGTAATATAATCAGGAAGTTTATGAATTTCAATTGCAAGATAATTATAATTTGATAGAAGTATATTTGTAACATATTCAGGCACTATAATGCTTGCTCTATTTGAATTGGGTAGTGATTTGAAGTACTTATTATTTAATATTTCATTACTGATAGATAGTTCTGTTATATTTAGATTCATGATAAGTAAAAAAAAAAGTGTATTTAGAGTGTAACTCAAAGATTTAAAGAAAAATATCAAATTTTTTTGAGAAGAAAGAAAAGAATAAAAAATAAATAAATAAATAAAAAAAAGTGAAAGATAAAAATAAGCAAAATTTTTTTAAGTTTATTATTTTGTTATATTTTTCTATATTTTCATCATAATTTGCCAAAAAAAGAAAATTTAATGTCTGAGTTCTGAGTTTAAAAATTCATCATATTTAGCTTTAAACACAATACTTATTGTTATATTGTTTTTAGAAGTTTATACTTAATTTAATGTTAAAGCTTAAATGTATACATATTATATTAATTTAATAGACCTATCACTATGAAAAAAACATTGTGTATATCAAAAAAGAAAAAGGCATATATATTGGTAAAAAGGCCCCTATGATAAGTATATATATATATTTGTTAAATTCAACTAAATTATTCTATTGAAGTTTTCACTAATTAGTATAACTAATTTTATATTTAAATTTTATATTCATTATAAATTTTTTTTTTTTTTTTTGTTAAAGGCCATACTTGTAGCAATACTTTATTGACTTTATATCAGGTTAGCTATTACAACTATTTTTACAGAGATGAGAGTACAGCTAGTCATGTGTGCAACTTTTGGTTGCCTATTTAAGTAGTCCAGCCTAAGGTTCTATACTAGATGCTATACCTATAACCTACTAGGAGATTATTCATTTAAACCCTCTGATCATCTGCCCTGTTATATTGGAATCTTCAACTAACCCTCCGTATATACCTAATCGGTATACCATCTGAGCAGTATGGTACCTACCCTTTTTGTACTGGTTCTCAGGCTGTTATACATTTTAGAGTACATTATCTGCCAGTAAGGCGCAGAGGGCCCCCTGTTGTTAACTATCTACCCACTTTTAGAATACTAACACAGGCTACTCTTGCAGAGTTCACCCAGACCTCAGTACTGACTTCACAGCATATTCCTAGTACTTTTAGTATACCCCTGCTTTGAACTCAGACTCTCAATCCAGATAGCTCAGAAGGACTGTGACCTGTTCTTGGTATATTGAAGCTGGCTCAATATCCTTTTCCTCTGGTCCAAAATCCAGTAGCCTGGTTGGTGGTACCCCTCACTTGAGGTTCTTGCCCACCTGAATCCTTCACATTGGTATCCATTTCCTAGGTCTAGCCTTTACAGTAGTACCATTGAAGATCCATGTTACCTCTCTGCTCGGAATTTCTAAGTAGGCTCCGGCTTTCCAGTTCTACAGATTTACACAGTCCGAGGACTTATTTTAGGTTTGCACTGCTCGGTACTGGTTTGCATTCCTCTGTGTAACAGGTTACACAGATGCCCAGACCTACCAGTCATGCTGGTGCGACTATAGTTACAGGTATTCTATCCCAACTGATCGACAGAATGCCATCGCCGTAATACCGTCTATATATTATATAGGTGATTATCCAAATTTCGCTATCGGTGTGTTTTGAACTCACAACCTACCACTTGAGAATATGACAACTTATCCACTTTACTAAGTTGCCACTTGTTATATTTTTTATTTTTTAAAAAAATTTAAAAAAAATTATTAGTTTTTATTTGTTAATTTATGACTTTTATTTATTTAGTAGTAATGTTTTTATTAATATATTTGAGATTAGTTTTTACAACTATTTTTATAAAGATAAAAGTACAATTAGTTACACATCTAACTTTTTAGTTACTTATTTTAAAAAATTAATTTAATTTTATATAATAAGGTAAAAGAAGATATTTTGATACATCTAGCTATGTTGTAATTAAAATCTTATAAATTAATATGTATTTTTAAAACTTATTTAAATTAACTAATTAAATGCTTGGCTATCTCACTAATAAAAAAAATATAATTATTATTAATAAACAAGATTAGTTATTATAATTTTTTTGTAAGCAATTTTTTTAAAAGCAATTTTTTAGATATAATTTTATTAGATGAGAGATTGTAATTTACTTACAAATATTAAAATCTTTATATTACATAAACTACAATAGAATTTTATTAACTTAAACTAAAATTATCTGTTATATTAATATTAACAATATAATTAATATTCATTATAGATAATTATTACTTGTAAATATATAATAAAATTTATAATAAAAGAATATAAGTTATTATATTTAAAAAAATTAAATAAAAAATACTAAGCTATTGTATACAAAAAAATCTGAAAGTGATATAACAGTGCTAGCAATTGTTTGTAGAATGCAACTTTAATAAATAATTCTAAATATTTGTATTAATAATTGTGTGCAAGACATTTCATTATTCATTATTTATGTATTAGTATCTATATATAAGTCAGTGCATATACTTTAAAACTTGTTATTAAATATATATATATTGTTTGCCAGATTTGTAGTAACAAACAATAAAGTCAGTTATTTTTTTTTTTTTTTTTTTTTTATAAACAGTCATGTTAGTGCTTTATTAAAATTTTTGAAACTACTACTGTAATTATATAAATTTACCTAACAACTAAGCCTAGCATCATTTGGCTACTCTAATAGCATCTAAGTGCAACCTGCCACATTACTTCTAGCAGAAGTAAGCTACTTGTCTAACTACTTAAAGGTAGAGGATAATATATTGAAATTATATATAAACTTAATGGTAAAATTTTTTTATATTAATTTTGTAAAAAATTATATTAAGTAAACTAATATTAATTTATAAGAAAAGTTTGTAGAGCAGGTTTTTCTGATTGTAATGATAGTAAAATTATTAAATTTGATTAAAAACTCAGTAAGATATAACTTTTTAAAAATTAGGTATAAAAA